ACCAGCCTTGGACGAACCTTGCGCATCTCTTGCGCAAACACATTAGAACTACAGTTCTTGTTCGAACGTGTTTTCGCCCAGCACTTTGTGTAAAGGACCCTTCACCAAAGCCTTGTGTAGGCCTTGGAGGCCACTTGCGCGATGCAGGGTTTAGACAATCTACAATCAATCAAACACTTCGTGTTACTACCAAAACAGGTTTAAGTGCAAAAAGGAGCCTACTCACCTGGGTTACCTATGGGATAGTCTACCATCGGGTCCTTCAACCTCTGTTGGTACGTTTCAAAAGGAGGTGGGTTTGAGCACACGAACAGGCGTGACGGAGGGGCACAGCCTCGACATCACATGTCATGAAGAACAAACTATAACATGTTCATATGACTCGTAGCTTGATGGCCCACTGCATATCGAAATCGTGTCATGTCTTAGACCCTCCAGTTCGTCCAGTTCAGCGATTTCAATCTGGCGATCTGTCCTCAATCCAGCGCCTTCCGGCATAGGATTTCAATCAGACTGTAAAGGTCTGTGGACAAGTACTTCGGCTCCAAGTGCTCTGACTGGACATGGTGCTGCTCCACCTGCGCGACCGGTCCCTTCCGTCCGGGACGACTTCTCCGTCGTGGGGTCCGACCGGCCGTGGTCGACGGACCGATCCGATCGACGCGGGACCGATCGACGCGCAGTTGCCGCACGGTGCGAAGTCCGTTCCGACCGGTTGTACCTTCCTGACCTGCCAAGAGAGGTGGAACGTGACCTTAAAGGACCCGTCACCTGGGGTACCCAACTGGGATGGTCGAACGTGAAGGAGTCCTTCAAGCTTTGTTGGTTTGTCCGCTCAAACGGGCACTGGCAGCGAGGCTAACTATGGCACAGCCGAAAAGGGGAGTCGGCACCGACTTCGTTGTAGTCTGGCTTCCTTCGGAGTCGGCGGAGGGGTGGAGTGATGTTTATAGTTGATCAGGCTACGCAATGTACTCACTTTACTCTGCAGTGTCTTCATGTTCTGAGCTTTAAAGCTTTCTCTAATATATATATATATATATATCATATATATATATATATCATATATATCCTTATGAGTTTATTTAATGTTTGCTTTAACGTTTTCACGTTTTTGGGGGAAGACAAATAGCGCTTCTTTAGACGGCCACATTGAATCCAGTGGCGATGGCCAAGCATCTCCAACCAGGGACTCCTCCAAAAAATTCCTTGTGCGAAAATGTTGCCACAGATGGTCCTCCACAGCTTCTGCACCCATTTCCTTATTAGTAATGGCAGGAGCAGAACTAGCTGAAGATGCGGATGCTGACTGCGGCGCTCGCTCACTTGCTGTCCCGAACAGTTCCACACGCAGCCCATTCACACGCTTCAGCAGCTTTCACAGCGCTTGGGGTCCTTTTCAAGCCTTCAAACCTGCCCCCCGGCTCCCAAACAGACAGGATGCGGTGAAGCATCTGCATCAAGAAGCTGATCGCCATGTACAGCTCCTGCAAGCTGAAGCAGGGGTCTGCAGAGTAATCACGTTGCTGGTTGCGCAGCCTGGCACGCCTCATCTTCTTTGGCCGCCGTCGCGCAGCTTTGGCTTTGGCCTTTGGGGCAGGCGGCGGCGATCTAGATCTTTGTCCACGAGCCACAAGCCCCACTGGAAGAGGAGTTCCACGGCGCGAGGCCATGATCACAAAAACAGTAGATCCCTGTGCCAATTGCGAGGTGTAACCCTTTTCAGGGTGAAAGAGATTTTTTCCTGTGAGAACCAACAATTGCATGGACATGAACACGTCAGCAGGATTTGTGTTCCTTACATGCAATCAATGCAGTTTTCTCTGGCCAACTACAGGGCCAACAAAGGGACATCGAGGTTCGACGGCCAAAACGGATGACTTGAGGGAGGCTCGGCCCACCGACATGGACGACAGAAGCTCTTCAAGCTTGGCAGGGCGGTTCCAGACCACCCAAGAGTCTACATTGTATCACTGCGAGATGGTTTTGGGCCCCAGGTGTAAAACAATATTCCATACATGGAGTGGTAGGGTTGCTAGGATATTGGAATATTGTGGGGCTAGTCCTGCAGGATGATATCTAACTTAGGTTAGATATGAATAAATCCAGACGGGTTTTAAACACGCAGGTGTGTAAAAAAATATGTACGCGCAACACAGCACGAGTACTAGTATTGTATAGCAGCATAGCAACGTAGAAGGGGTTCTTCTGTATGAGCGTGCAATTTGAACCGAACGTTATAACATCACACCCCACCCCACCCCACCCCCACCCCACACTCAGTCGTTCGCATTGCGTAGCAACGTAGAAGGGTTTCTTCTATATGAGCGTGCAATTTGCACCGAACGTTAACATCCCACCCCACCCCCACCCCACACTCCGTCGTTCGCATTGTGTAGCAACGTAGAAGGGTTTCTTCTGTATGAGCGTGCAAGGTTCGGTCGGATTCTGAAACTAGGGTTCTGAAACTGGGGTTCTGAAACTAGGGTTCTGAAACTTGGATTCTGAAACTGGTATTCTGAAACTGGGGTTCTGAAACTAGGATTCTGAAACTGGGGTTCTGAAACTAGGATTCTGAAACTGGGATTCTGAAACTTGTATTCTGAAACTGGAAAGTCAGATTCTGCAACTGGTATTCTGAAACCGGAAAGTCAGATTCTGCAACTTGCCTTCTGAAACTTGCAACTGGTGATCTCCACATCATGCGACAGCGTGTGTGCCTGTGACATCACCTTCGAAGCACATCCAAACCAACGTCATTAGCCCCCCACCCAACCCCCCCACCCCCCAACCCCCCCTTGTCCCCATCGTGTGATCTCGACATCACGCCAACCCCCTCATCATTCACAAAGTTGCGGAATCCTAGTGAGGGAGTCCACAATGTTGCGGAATCCTAGTTGCAGAACGCCAGTTGCGGAATCCCAGTTGCAGAATCCTAGTTGCGGAATCCTAGTTGCGGAATCTTGACAGTTGCGGAATCCTAGTTTCGGAATCCTAGTTGCGAAATCCTAGTTGCGGAATCCTAGTTGCGGAATCCTAGTTGCGGAATCCTAGTTTCGGAATCCTAGTTGCGGAATCCCAGTTGCGGAATCCGACCAAACAGTTGCGGAATCCTAGTTGCGGAATCCTGCGCAGTTGCGGAACTCGACTTTATCCGAGCGGGCAATTTGCACCGAACGTTAACGCGCCATCCAACCAAAACCCTCGGAATCATGGCACAGTTCTGAAGTCGTAATTACAGTGTGCTTTACATCGACCGATGAAAACATGCGCGGTAAATTCGCGTAAATACCGCGCTAAATTCCCCAAACGGATGATCAAAAAACAGCGCAAATAGCATATGAATGCACATGTGAGGTTAAAACACTCACAGTCTTAAGTAAACCCGTCTGGATATATATATATATATATATTACATATATATCATATATATATATATATCATATATGTCGTATATCGTTTTTCGTTGGCTCCAGGCCCAGTTACAGCTTGCAGAAAAAGTCCAGCGCAAGACAGTCCCTCGCTCCTACACACTACTCGCTCCACACTGATGCGCACTGTAGAGCACTCAAGTCTAAGTGGGTCTGCGTCGGTCGCAGTTCTGATGGCATCAAAGCCTCAGGTTTTTCCAGAAGTTTGGCGTAAACATGGTGTAGGCACAAGTAGGACTCCACTAAAACGCAGGTTTTCCACTCTTCCCATTGCGCCAGTGGGCCCCCATTGTGTGCTGGTGCTTCATCCAGGGTCGCACCTGTGCATCGGCCTGGGCCCGTTCCTGTCGCACTGGGGGTATGGGTGGCTGCTCCTGTTGCAGCTCCCCGACCAAAAGTAGAAAAACGAACTTGCTAGCTTCCAGCAGAGGTTGAAGAACCCTATAGACTATCCTATAGGTACCCCTGTAGGGTCCTATAAGGTCACTTAACCTTTGTTGCTTAAAGATTACGCCACCGTGAAAACACATGTTCGCTCGCAAATTTCACATCAGAATCAGGGCCTGCGACTGTGGCGCAACAGGCTTCTTGCAGCAAAGGTTGTACCATGGGCAGCGCAACATGTTTCGAGTGGTCTGGCAGGTGCTTCTTCAGTTTTTCCGCCCGCTTCAAAAGTGGTCTTACTCATCTTACTCTGTCTGCAGTCAGATGAAATGAAATGATTTATGTTTAGACAAAACGGAAGCAGTGATCCTTCGTCCATGAACATTGATCAGGTGAGACCGTAGCATGGAACCCATACTCCTTAGCTTGGACAGTACCCAGCTCGAGAAAATGCTCAATGGATAAGCTTGGATCCCCTGAGTTCCTACTGGTTGGGTGGTGGACAAAGGCTTTTGTCTCTCAAAAGTGTGAACAGTACCTGTGCCACGCTTGAGCCAGCCTTGTAAGGCACTGAACCAAAAGACCCCTCTTCAGTGCGTTCTTCAGGTCAGCCATGGATCGAAGTTGACCAACTTCTAGGCTCTCATCCAAACATATCCAACTCAATCTTCATCCCCCACATCCCTCATCTCTTCCCAAAACAGGCGTGGCCCAGTTGGCTTGGGACCAGGAAGGATTCATTTACTTGCGTTTCGCTGACATGATTGGTGAACAAAAAGAACTTGCACATGGATGGGTCATTGTGGATATGCGTCTGAATTCAACTTGCAAAACATGCTGTAGGCACGATCACTGATCAAAACAACTTGCAAACTATGGAAACAATCGCTGACACCATTGGAGGGAACATCTCCTTCTCCCACACTCATGATCAAAGCCAGTCGGGCGGATCGTCTCACTAGGTGTTCTATTCAATCAGAGATGGGTTCTTAAGGCTCGCGGACTGCCGACTGGTTCCTGCCTCTCAGAAGTCTAAACATGGCTTGAGGATCGGCCTTGCATGTTGTAGGAGTCAGGAGTCAGGAGTTGTTCATTCATGCATAATATGGAAGGAACGACTCCATCTGAAAACAATCCAAACCTCACACAGAACTTGCTGGAAAACGAATAAACTTGCCGGCTGCACCCATATCTTCCTCCAACCAAATACCTCATGTGTCCTCCAACCACCCCCCGCGGCCAGGGCGTGTTTTCACACCGTACGGGCTTTGTTCACCTCCAGGCCCCCCAGGCCTTGGTCGAGGCAGCGCAGAGCTCGCAGCGCACGCAGCGCACGCAGCGCTGAGTGGGTGCAACCGTGAGCGCAAACCGGGAAGTGGTGCCACGCACGAATGTGAAGTCACGGTGAGGCAAGTGGTGCCTCACAGATGCTGAAGCTTTGCAATGGAAATCATGAGCTAGCAGCTAGCATCTGATTCGGTCTGAAAGGGTCTTTCGCTGTCCTATACTTCCTCAAGCATCTCTTCCAGCCACTCGCGCCATGCCAAGCGGTCAGGACTTCACACGTGTTCGCCCAACCCACGTTTCGCGGACGATGCCCTTTCGTCCGGGCAGCTCACCTGTGCTCGGTTCGCTCGCACCGGTCCCAGAGACGGCGCCAATCGCACGCCGACGGCGGTCCCCACGCGGTCCCGGCGCCGCCCGGTCGCGGGATCCCAAAAAGCTTCAAGAAGAAGCTGAACGAGGCGTGTTTTCAAAGGCTCATGGCAGGGAGAGAACCACCCAGGCAGGGCACCAAGACCTTGGCTCCCAGGTGTGATGGCTCGGCACGTGGCGCCAGGGCTTTTTCGTGGCGGAGACTCCAGGCTGCCAGGCGCCGGCGCCCTTCCCTGCCAGCAGTGAGGCCATCGCCGTTTTTGGGCGCCACCTTCACAAGTGAGGAGCCAAAAGGTCTACAACTGCTGCTTGGCTTTCTGAGCTAAA